GCCCCCCTGCTGTAACCACTAGACCCCACTCCCCTCCCAGAGCCAGGGAGAGAACCCGGGAGTCCTGGCTCCCAGCCCCCACCCCTGCTCTAACCCACCAGCCCCCACTCCTCTCCCAGAGCCAGGGAGAGAACCCAGGAGTCCTGGCTCCCAGCGCCCCCTGCTCTAACCACCAGCCCCCACTCCCCTCTCAGAGCCGGGGATGGAACCCAGGAGTCCTGACTCCCAGCCCCCCCTGCTCTAACCACCAGCCCCCACTCCCCTCCCAGAGCGAGGAGAGAACCCAGGCGTCCTGGCGCCGCCCAGGGGGCTCCTACGGGTGATCTCGGGCACGTTGCAGCTGTCCGCCCGGCAGCAAGTCGAGTTCCAGCGCAGACGGTAGGCGCCGGCCGTCAGCCCGTAGAACTGGTTACAGAGCCGGTCGTCCGAGTTGCATTTCTTCTCGTATACCGTCTTCTCCTTGTCCTCGTCCCCTGGCAGGACAGGGCGGGCACCGGGGGTGAGACACGGGGTACGGGGATGGTGCAAGCCATGATTTGTGGGGAGAATCCCCCTGGGATGGAGCAGTCAAGGGGCTAGGACACACACGGGGTTTGTACCCGCACCCCCCTCAGTCTACCTGTGGCATGGGGGGGCACTGCTAGTGTGAAGCTCGCAGCACTGGGGTGGGGGGGACTGCTGGGGAAGCGTGCGCAACGTCAAATGGGGGCACTGCTGGGGGGAAGCTCGCAGCACTAGGGGGGCACTGCTGATGGGAAACTTGGAGTGCCGGGGGGGACCATTATCAGGGGAGGCCTGCAGCTCTGGGGGGCACTGCTGAGGGGAAGCTCGCAGCATCGGGGGGCACTGCTGACAGGGAAGGCCTGCAGCTCCAGGGGACACTGCTGCGGGGAAGCTCACAGCATCGGAGCACTGCTGACAGGGGAGGCCTGCAGCTCCAGGGGGCACTGCTGGGGGGAAGCTCGCAGCGCTGCTTGTCCCCACTCCCCCAGCCCCACAGGCCGGGCCCTACCCTGCTCCTCGTCGCGGGCGATGGTGATGCAGCTGTTGACGGCGCTGGTGCAGGTGGCCTGGTTCGTGGTGCAGTTGTAGCCCTCCGAGCTGGTGCAGTTATAGCAGGAGATGGCGCCCCCTGGGCACAGGGGAGGGAAGCACAGTCAGAGCCCCTCCAACGGGCCCATCTCACCCGGCATCCCGCCTCCTGCCCCCCCGGACGGGCCCCATGGGCCCATCAACCCGCCTGTGTGGGGGAAATTCCATCCTGCCCCCGTGGGGAGACAGTGGCCCTGCAGGCAGGGGAGCGAATCACTCGCTCAGCCTGTATCGCTGCATACCTTCTCACCGAGCCATGGCCCCAGAATGAACCCAGGAGTCCTGGCTCCCACCCCCTGTTCTACCCACCAGCCCCCATTTCCCTCCTAGACCTGGGGAGAGAACCCAGGAGTCCTGGCTCCCACCCCCTGTTCTACCCACCAGCCCCCATTTCCCTCCTAGACCTGGGGAGAGAACCCAGGAGTCCT